GCAGCATTCTATTTCTCGCCTTGACGAAGGCTGTTTAAACAGCTGACGACTTATTTAATGACGTCGGTGATTCACCAATATGGCGGCGATTACCAAAAACGATGCCGATAAGCAATTCTTAGTAGAGAACTTGGACGATACTTGTTGATTAGTATCAACTGTTTCTAAGTCCAGTTGGATAGGTCCTAACATCCAAATTAGTGCCATCAGTTTCTCAATAGCGAGTCACCTCCGGGTTGGTTTCAACTCCAGGGTAAGCCTGGCCAGTTGCTATGTTTACCCTGGAGTTATGCTTAACCCTGGGGTGACTTCTATCAGGGACCCGGACCGGAACGATATTGGACCGAAAACCGGAACGAAACCGTTTTTTTTTGCGGACCGGAACCGGAACGAAACCCATATTTCATAGAAATGTTGTAGGGCAGGCAGAACCGGAACCGATATAAATTAATCGGTTCTTACCGGTATTTTTCGGTTCCAAGATTTTATAAATTAAGCTGTTCGCTGTTTGGTTGTATCAAAATAAAATTAACACTTTAAAAAACAGAGCGTTGGACATTGGACAGCGCGCATTTCTGAACTCGGCTAGGCTACACACCAAGGATTTTACATACTACTACAGGATTGCTCATCGGCTTCGATTTTTGGAATCAAGTTCATATGTTGTTGAACCGTTGCCAACGGCATCAACGGTCTCGTTAGCGGTTTGCGTTCGTAGTTAAAAATATACATGTATGATGAAAAATATAATTTAAACTTGATTAATAGTCAATAGACAAGAGGAAGATGCAAATGAGATCTAAACAAGGGTTGTTTTAGAATATTAAATAATTTACTATGGTTCTAAACTTCTAAACCGTTTCGAAATACAAACCAATCCACGTTTTAAAACCATTTCCTCGTGCCGAGAAATTATGACGTCATTGTGAAACTGATTTAAACCAGTTTTGGAAAATGTTTCAAAACTTTGAGACGCGAGAAAACACCTCCTAAAGCACAGTACTCATAACTGCGAAATTCGCATTTTTTTGACATTGCATGCTTCGACAATTTGACGTTTGATACACGCATAAAACGTCAAGTTGTCAACGCAATGTCAAAACAATGCGAATTTCGCAGCTATGAGTATTAGGCTCTATCCGTGGTGCAACTGCTGCAAGCACTACGTCAAGGCGAGAAACGACACGCTGTTGCGTCATCACTGATCGAAAACACAAACCACAAATTATAGAAACATAATTTTTTCTGTAATGACTGTTTTAAGGGATGCTTCTTGAAATGGTCAGTGCAAATGGCCATTAGATATTTGTGAAAAACTATACCGGTATGAACCGTTAAAACCGAAATTATTAGTCCGAACCGAATCGAAATATTTCTCTTAGAACCGAAACCGTAACGGAACCTATATTCGTCATGACGCTGTGGACCGGAACCGGAACGGAACCGATATTTCATTTCGGTCCGGGTCCCTGCTTGCTATTGAGAAAGCGGCCCTAGTAGTAAAGTCCGTTTTTTTTTTAAGATAACTCCCAAAGTCAAAAATTTAGTAACCATGTTGGCAACACAAGCCTTTTCTACATGCAAAATTTGGAAGCATTGACAATTTTACATTGTATTGCCAAGATAATGTCATTTTAACTTTAATCTCTAAAAAAAACAGACTAAGGGCGGGTATTATAAAACTGCTTTGACAGTTAACTTGAAGTTAACTTTTTGAATTACATGTAATTTCAGAAGTTAACTTTGAGTTAACTTTCAAAGTAGTTTTATAATACCCGCCCTAAGGGTGGGTATTATAAAACTGCTTTGACAGTTAACTTGAAGTTAACTTTTTGAATTACATGTAATTCCAGAAGTTAACTTTAAGTTAACTCTCAAAGTAGTTTTATAATACCCGCCCTTAAGGCGAGGATGAGTGATGGTCCAAGTTGTCACCCAAGGAATTCACCAAGTGCACTTGGACGGACAGAGTGACCTGCAAGGATGATACACAACTACAGGATTCCTTATCGGCCTCGTTTTCGGTAATCGCCGCCATATTGGTGTGTCACCATTTCCGACGTCATAACTAAGTCCACAGCTGTTTAAACAGCCTACGTCAAGGCGAGAAATAACATGCTCTCTACGTCACAACTGGTGATTTGACCATGGGGGGGAGGATTTGTTCCACATAGGCCTTATGAGGATAGGCTATTTTGTAGTAGTGTGTATCATCCTTGGGTGACTTGGACCAGGCATTGGGAGTATTGGGACTGTGTCCGTTCTCCAACTCCGTATGTAAACCGGGCTTAAGGTAAGGTTATGTTGTGTTTCGTCAACGATAACAACCTACTACTACTACTACAGGATAGCCTATCTCCATAAGGCCTGTGTGGAACAAATCTGAAGCCGCCCACCACGCCAAATCACCAATTGTGACGTTATGATCCCGCAGGCTTTTGCTTATACTTGGGCTATGGTCCGAACATAACCAAACGTTAACCAAAGTACCCGAATCGGTTGACAGATGGTTACTGAAAATTCCGGTTACTTGGGGAACGCGAGTATGGAATAAAAAAGAATTGACAGAAATTACAGATGAAACCAAAAGAACCAACACCAGATTGCCGGTAATTATTTCGACATTTGGGGCCGATACTTTTGCTCTCGATTAACGAATTTAATACGTTGTCAAAGTTTTGCATGGTCCAAGGTCCATAAGTATAATGTGGTTAGAGCACATTCTAACCCCTGATTATTTTTAACGGCTGTCAAATGAGAGCAAAAGTACCGGCACTTGGTTAACCAGATTTGAGGAAACCGAGGTCCAAAAGTAACCACTTTTCTAGGAACCAGAGTAATTTGATTACTTTCGGACCGCAAAACCACAACCCTGGTTATATTCGGACAACAGCCTATAGTATTTTTATGACCCATTTAGAATAACCCCATCCTTATTTATCAATCACGAAAGATGAAACAACGAATGTCGATTGCTAATACGTCAAATTCATGTACAAATAGGAAATTCCACGAATTTTATTTGTCTGTTTAAGGGTGGATTTTCATGCATCCGTTTGTCCGACGAAAGATGTCCGAAAAACATTCTATTCTGACATAATCGTATAAAAATATGTCAAAATAGAAGCGACATAGTTTAGTCATTAGAACGACTGGTACTTCTAACCTTAGCTCTTTTCACGTGGCTCCGGTTTAACAAACCGCAACATACCACTCAAATTCGAGTGGTATCAAAGATGTCACTTTGTAACCGGGTTAGAAAACGGTATGTCATTTCTCTAACCGCCTCGGCAATATGGTTACGCCGAGCGGTTAGAAGAAAAAAATATAAACACAGAGAGCGGGAGAGTTCGGAAAAGTGTAAAAACCATATAAAAAGTTGTTTTTTGTATAAATTATTATATTTTATGAATTGACCTTTTCAATTTAAAACCCTCTCTCTCTGGCGTCAAACTGTCAGACGCCAAAAGAGTATGAAAACAACGGTTGACAGCCGCTGACAGTGGTTTGTTGACAAGATTTTTGTACATGTGGAAATTGGAAACTATTATTTCTTCGGTTTTTTCAAAGTTTTTTCCTAACAATAGTGATTGTGTAGTGTGCCTTTTTGTAAAAATAATTCCTATTTACTGGCGGACGTGTCTTTCCATAAGTTTCCATCAAATCCTACATTTGTCAAATTTTGGATACATAAAATCAGAAAGAATACTCGCAAAAAAAAGGGAAATCCACGGCCTATCAATTACACAAAGTAATTCACGTTCAAGTTTAGTTTGCGGGAGCTGTTTGCTTCCAAAATAATCCACCGCTTTCTCCATAGCGAAGTTCTGCAAATGAAGTAGTGACTTTTCCTGCATTTTCTTTCAAAACACCCCAATACACACTGGCATTGACAAGCAAGCAAATGTTGGCGGGAAAATGATTGTTTTCATACTTTATTGTCCATCTCTTTTAATTGAAAACGTCAATTTGAAGCCCGAAAGCCGTTTTCCCTTGTATACAGCCTGATTTACCTACACGTAGCCCATGCATTAGAAATTGTTCAGTTTGCAGGTGGATTAGCATAAATACCACCTAATCTATCTGGTAATGCACGGACTACGTAAATCACCCTGTATTATACTCAAAAGGTGTACCAGAGACAATCCCAGTTTACCTACTTGATGGGCTGTTGAAGACTGTAGGTAACAAGAACTTATAAACTTTAGATAAACTGGTTCCAGTAGGTCTATCCACCCATAGTCCACATCTAAAGCATTGAACGAAAAGAAACTAAACTAACTGTTTTTCACTTTTTAGCTTGCTGTAATAAAAAGGAATGAAATATAGGATAATTCCGCAATTTTGAAAAAAAAAGCTTGCTTCCCCTATTTCTCCACATATTAATTATATGTGAATTGCTCACATTTAAGATATTTTTGTCCATAGTAGACATAATAGGTAGGTCAGATTCAACGGCACTGGCGAAAATATTGAAAAATCAAAAGTTGAAAACATAAAACAAGTCAAACACCTATCCTCAAATCGAATTTAAAATAACATTTTTCTAACCGTTCGTTTTCAAGTGGCATTTTCAGTGATGTCATCACTTGACATACCGTCCCTAACCGTTTTGTAACCCGGTTAGTTTAAACCGGAGCTACGTGAAAAGAGCTCTTGTGTTCGGTATTTTGCTCAAAGAGTAGAGCGTGCTGAGCGGAGCCGTAATCACGTGACCAGCGAGTGAACAGAGCAGTTGAACGCTGCATCAGAGTGTAAGAAATTTTAATAAACGGACGCGAATGAGCCTGCACCGAGTACACTTTTCAAATAAACGAACGGTAAATTCAAGCTCGGAGAACTCAGATCAAAATACCGAACGCACGATTAATAGGCATTAAAAATTCTATACTACCGCTAGTGCAAACACCTGACGACTTAGTTATGACGTCGGAAATGGTGACACACCAATTTATGCGGCGATTAACTAAAACGAGGTCGATAAGCAATCATAGTAGTGTGTATTATCATTGGTGGTTCGTGAAGGCGTAGCGTCACACTCGTGACAGTGACAGTGACTGGTAACCGGCTGACCTGGTTGATTTGTTGATTGTTGATGTTGTTACCTATAAAAAATACTGGCAAGAGTGGCAAGGTTCTTCAATCCTCATAGTTCTTGAAAAGTGTGCGAATTAATAGTTTTTATCTAAAATTCGACATGGTTGTCTGCAAGTTTTTCTTGCAAGGCACTTGTAAATTTGGCACCCATTGCCATTATGATCATCAAGTACCCAGTAAGTATTTTCCTTGATTATAATAATCGGTATACTTTATATCCTATTCACAATCCGTAGTCCAAAGGTAAAGGTAAATTTATCACCTTTTCCCGGGCCTTTCCCTATAAAAAAGCACTGAAAGGTGATAAATTTTACCTCGAATTTTACCTTTACCTTTAGACACAGATTGTGAATAGATAATACTTTTTCCTACGAGCGTGCGCAAAGTAGTACTTTTCCGCACGCATTTCCGGGCTCAAAGTTACACTTTTCCGCACTCAGTGCGGATACAGGCCTTATCCGCACTGAGTGCTGAAAAGTAATTATAATTGTCAAGCAACAATAAGTGCACCTGTCGACTTTGACACATGATGACAAATTTTTCCTCTGTTTCTATATCAGCCAACATCTATACAAACACCAAAAATAAATTAACTTTGACACATTGTCAGATTTGTTCTCTATTTATATGCAAAAATCAACAAACTTTCTCATCAAATTTAAACGCTTTAAGATGAACAGCTCTGACGAGGATTTTCAGTTTTTTTTTTTTGTTATGTAATTTTTTGATAAATGCATAGGTTCCCTTCAAGTTAATTAAAAATAATTAAACAAATTATCGTTTTTTTTTTTTAATTTTTGTTATTACCTACCTGATATGAAGCTCGTAGGAAAAATTTTGTTCCTAACACGTGCGCAAAGTGTCTTTTCCGCACGCAAACACGTATCCGAACTTCGCTTCGCGTCGTTCGTATAACTGTGTTTGCGTGCGGAAAAGTAACACTTTGCGCACTTGTTAGGAAAATAACTATTTCCCGATTAGTAAATTATATTTACACCTTTTGCAGCCAATTACAGTTACTCAAACTTCAGAGATAACACCCAACCTTCAACATCAATTTTAAGGCAATCCAATTTCGGTAATGCAAATACTACCCAAAATGCAAAGCCAGCGACTACACCAGCAAATGTTGATATTAACACTTTGGTTAAGGCTGTTGCAACTGACATGTTGGGTGCAGAAAAAGGTGGCCAATGGTTGATGTCTTCTTATGCCCCATTCAAAGAAAAACCAGAATTTCCAGGCTTTGAGGATCAGAGCTTTGAGGAAATTCGTTTTGGATTCTATGATGCTCAGAAAAATGGAACAATGGAACAATATGTATGTTTATTCAATTTTTTTTTTGAGGTTTATAAGTAATATTATAATTACTATCTTCTTTAGAAACAACAACTACAAATGCTCCTTCAAAGCGCCATAGCGAAAGTCAGAGCCCTACAAAACCCTACACCCGAAATTTGTAATATTTTACAACAAATTTATAATACACCAGTGCCAAACAAGAATCTCGCTCAGTCTACTAGCAATCAGCAATCTAGTAATATATTTGCTACTCAAAATCAATCCACCTTTGGCCAACAGCAAAATACAAATATTTTTGCTACAAAAAATATATTTGGAGTATCTGAAACCAACCAGGCAACTAATAACGTTTTTGGAAATACTGCTCCATCAGCAACACCCAACCAGAATATATTTGCAAGTAGTGGTTTTATGGGTAATCAAAGCTCTAGTAATTTTGGAGTGCCTCAAACTCAAAACACTAATTTTGGAAATCAACAACCAACAAATATTTTTGGTAGTCAACAACCTGCCAGCACTAATGTTTTTGCTACTCCTTTTGGTGCTCCTCAACAACAACAGCCAAATATATTTGCCACAGCTCCGCAACAACCACAAACTATGTTTGGCGCTCAACCCACAAGTACCCCACCATCTGTGTTTGAACACCAAAAACAACAAAATATCTTTGCAGCTCAAAACCAACCTCTTCAAAATGTACAGCCAAATATGTTTGCCTCTCAGCAACAAACTCAAAATGTTTTTGCACCAAATTCTATAATTCAGCAAAATGCTGCTCCTCCACCAGATTATTCAGCATCAATATTTGGAACTGCAAATACAAACCAAGGAGTTTTTGGTGCAAAACAAGAATTTGATGAAACTCTTTACTCTAAACTGGAAGATTTAAGTGAAGCCGAGAGAAAATGGTTTGAAAGTGATAATTTAGATATTCTTAATATTCCTGACAAACCACCCACATATGAAATGTGTTTTAAAGTTTGAAATAACTTAAGCAAAGGACGAAGCAAATCATTTTGTGATACTTTATTATATTAATTTATATTTTAGATCTTAAAACTTTAATATAAAAAAAAAATTGTAACAAAACTACCTTTATTAGCTGTTTTTTACCAGTCATTCTTTGTACAGGTTTTTAATCCCAATCCCCACTACATTGGCGCCCAACGTATGGTTCTTTCAAGAATAGTGTTTTCCTGTTTTTAGACTGTCTTGAAGTGTTTTCCATGTGAACTCGACACTATTTTAGCTCAGTTTGTGACATTATTAATTGCTGAAGAGACATTATTTCATTTGAACACTGATAAAATCATGTCATTGGTGTGTTTTAGTCAATTTATATTTATGGAGTCCAAGAAAAAATGAGGAAGAGTTACAATTCTTCGTAGTGATGATGATAGCGGCGTTAGAGAAGCCCAAGTTCAACAAATTGTGATGACACCTGAAATGCTCCACACCTTGTTAGCTGGTAGGTATACGAAGTGGCAATGTTGGTAATCAGCAGGTAACAGCTCCTGTACAAAACGTAAGTACAGCAAATTTTTCTGCTTGCAAGTGGCGTTTTGATGGTCATTCCGATGTTAAAGCGTTTATTGATGCTATCACTGTCTACAAAGACTGCCTAAACATTGAAGATGCTCACGCAATAAAAGGACTATACATGCTTTTAATTGATTCTGCTGCTACATGGTGGCAAGGCATAAAAACTTCAATAGATACATTTGATGAAGCTATTGATGCTTTGCATCATGCTTTCGGATATTTCAAACCTCTGCATCAGATTTATAGAGACCTTTTTTCCACAAGCTGATGAATATACTTTTTGTTAGTAAATGTAGAGCTCTTCTATCATATTTAGAGGAACATTCGGCTATTTCTGAACATGCACAGCTAGATATAGTATATTGACTTTTAAATATACGCATTAAAGATAAAGTTCAAAGAGATCAAATTAAAACTTTCAAGGATCTCATAGAAAAAGCTACAGTTGTCGAACAAACATTATTCGATAATATCATATCGCTAATGCAAAATATTCAATTTAACGATCCCATTGCAGAATTATCGCATAATCCAAAAGTTCAGTGTGTATATTGTAGAAATTTTGGTCATGTTAAAGAAAATTGTTGAAAATTAGCTTACAAAAATGCTCAGTCTGAAATTCAAAAAAATTCCCATCAATCTTCTATCACACTACCTGTTAATTCCAATGCAAACATCTTGAATAAGAAGTCTAAGCAAAATCCTTAGTCGCAAATACTTTTAGTTTGATGTGTTATGGCTATATTTGTATGCGACCCTTAACTTATGTTACTATACAAGATCATCATGGCTTAACTTATCTTGATTCTGGTGGACAATTAAGTATTGCTGGTGCTAAATTGAGTAAAATTCTTCTTCAAAATATATCTTATATAAAGAAGGAACTGAAAGTGACTCTTGCTGATGGTGAAAGTACTCAAGCTGAAGCCTACTACCGCAAGTTGAATGCAAAAACAATAGCCGACAGATACCCCCTTGCCTCGTATTGATGATACATTACATGCTGCAAAGAAAACTCGTTTTATGACAACGTTGTATTTAAGATCTGATTATCATCAAGTATCAGTTAAACCATCTGATCGAGAAAAAACTGGTTTCATTTGTCCTTTCGGAACTTTTAGATATACAAAAATGCCATTTGGATTACGAAATGCTCTGTCCGCATTTCAAAGACTAATTGATAGATTTCCTTCTGGACTTCAAGATATTAACATATTAACGCACCTCGATGATATAATTATATTATCAAACTCATTTAAACTTCATGTTAGTTAGTTAAAAAAAGTTTTTGATCGCTTAAAATTATTCAAACTTCAATTAAACCGTTCGAAATGTGAATTTTCTTGTTCTTCTGTCAATTACCTCGGTCATCTAATAACTTTTTCTGGTACCTATTGCTCCAAACCCAGATAAAGTTACTGCTATTTCTAAAATACCCAATCCTTGAAATGTCAAAGAACTACTTTCTTTTCTACAAACTTGTTCCTGGTTCCGACGTTTTATAAAAAACTTCGCAGAAATTTCAAAACCTCTTACTTTTCTCACTGAAAAGAAAGTCAAATGGATCTGGGGTTGAGATCAAGTCAAAGCTTTTGAAAATCTGAAATCGCTTTTAACGTCTAGCCCTTTTCTTCAGCAAGCTGATCCTAATAATAAACCATATATTCTCAAGACGGATGCTGTTGGGGCGGCAGTGACAAATTCAGAGGCTATTTAGAATGTGCTAATGTTAGGTCTGTTTCCACAGAAATCACAAACTAGTCAGAGCGAATTTCATTGGTTGAAAATAGTCAGGAAACTGGTTGTTGGCGATTTGGACCAATCAAAAACGCTCTGACGGGTTTGTGATTTCTGTGGAAACAGACCTTTTATCGTCAACAGTGAATACAGTGATCATCAGCCCTCGAAATGGCTTATGACACTCAAATCACCTTCGGGCAGATTAGCAATAAGATGGTTTTTAGCTTTGCAATCTTATGATTTATGTATTGAATATATTCCTGGAAAAGATAATGTTGTTGCTCATATGTTATCACGCCCTGCAATTCCTGCAACAGAAGCCAATCTTGTTATTGTCGATTTACCTGGACAAAAAGCAAATCTGCCCAGACGTGAACAAATGAATGACCCAGATCTCAATAAAATAATCCAATGTTTTGAAAACTCTGATAATGGTTCTGATGCTGATTTTAAAAGATGAACTAAGAGAGGCTACATCATAAACTGTGGCGTACTTTACCGTTATGTCTCTGAATTAGATGAAGATGAAGCACAACAAGTAGTACCGAAATTCCAAATTCTTCAAATCCTTGCCAAGTACCACGATTCTCCATTAGCTGGCCATTATGGTGTGGAACGTACTTATCAAAGAATTGCTAGTCGTCTTTTTTTGGCCTGGAATGAGAAGAACCATATCTGATTATGTTAGTAGATGTGTAGACTGCCAACCCAACGTTATAAAGCTACAAATCTTAAACCTGCAGGACAAATACAGACTCCTATCCAAAGACAGCGTTTTGAAACTATTTGTATTGATTTATTTGGTCCATTACCTGAAACGCACGATCATTACAAATGGATTTTTATAGTAGAACAGTAGAAGATACTACAAGTAGATGGATAGAACTTTTTCCATTAACGGGAGCGTCCGCTGAAAATTGTGCTTTTTGCCTAATAAATGAAGTTATATTTAGATACGGCGTTCCCAGACATGTTTTAAATGATAATGGTTCCCGGTTTATAAGTGCAATTGTAATACAAAATGGAAAGAAAAACTTCGAGCAGTCGGTTTTTCTATGAACCCATTTTTTTCCCCGAGCTACAGGTTATTTCGCTGCTTACCTCACTTTTGGAAGAGAGTTAAGAATCCCAGAATTCCCAGATGATGTAAATAGAGATCTTAGAAGCATTGTGGAAAATGATAATTTTGTGTGTGAAATTACTCCTTATCTGAGATCCTTACCTACCATTCCTTGTCAAGCCAGAGATGTATATGAAATTCAACAAGATAGATCTAAGAAATATTAAAATGGTATGCCCAACTACTTATGATATTGCATCGCTAGATGATTCACAAAAAGCACTCAGAAAATATTATGTTTCACCATTGACTTAATTTAAAACCGATTATAAAGTTTATCCGGTACCTATAAGACCATTGAAAAAACGTGGTAGACACCGTAAAGTTTTGATTAAAGACAATGAATTTGGAAGTGATCATTTTTTTTTGGCAATCCAGACACTCAGAAGATAGTTCAATAGAAGAAACACTATAGAGAACATGGAAGATCCTAATCCCTACTACAAAATCAAATATAATATATGTTTATCTCTGATTATTATATTACTAAATTTATTTGAAGGAAAAAATAAGTAATCCATTATCTCCTTCTTTTAACTTTAGAGCGTCCTTTTTTCTTTTTTCTCCCACTATTACTTCCTTCTTTTTTAGTTACTTTAACACTTTTTGGTGCTGGTATTCCTGTACTGGGTCTTTTGGGCGTGATGAGATTTTGCTCCACTAAATCGGCCAATTTTCCTTGTTCAGCAAGCATAGATAGAAATGTGCAAATAAATTCATCATAGTTGTGAGTCCTTCTGCAATCATCTACCTGAAAAAATACAAAAATAGGTGATACAGCATTGTGTTATTCCAATCTTGACTCACTTTATATTTATTTTGTTTATCATTTTCATCCTTCAAGCTCATTTCACAAAGGCATATTTCATTTTCTAAATTGCGCAATAATGAAAGCAGATCTTTTGGTGCAAAAGTATGTGGTTCCAGAATATCTTGATTTTTCTTTTCAGCTATAACAGGATCACCATCACTAGTGTGTACTCTCGCATGAACCACTCCACTGCTAGATTTTTTCTCTGGAGACTTATTTATCTCTATTGAATTATTTTTCTCCTGTTCTGCCATTCTAAGAACAACAAATCTCTTCAAGTCTCTTGAATTAGGGCTGTTTTGAGCAGCATTTGCCCAATTCCAACCCTGAGTGGGAGAATTAAATGCAGAACTTGAGCCTATATCTGAAGGAGTGTCTGTTCCAGAAGTACTTGGAGCTGGAGATGTTTGAATTGTTAAAGGAGTGGAATAATCCAATGGGCAAAGTGTCAAAGTGTTGCTGTTAGTTGGAATGGGTTCTTCTATTGGAGGTTTAATTTCCTGTTTTACTTCCAGAGTTTCTGTCTTAATATCTTCAGTCTTGACAGGTTTAGTTGGTTCTCCTGCTCCTGCAGCTGTTTCAGTTTTACCACTACCTTTATCTTTAATTTTAACAATTTGTTGTAGAGCATCAAGAACAATTTGTTTATTTGTTCTCAACATTTTCAACTTATGCTGAATAGCTAATCTTCTGTCAGGAACCACTGCCATTAAATTGAATCTTATTTCATTATATTCATCTGCTGTAATGCCCAAACGTTCCTGAATAACGCTTCTAAATTTGTCTGTCCAATCTTGTTCACTAAATGGTCCATGGTCTATTGGAAAGGGCTTTAGGCCATCCAGTTCATAGAGCCGTGCTCCTATAGGAACAAAACTTACAAAGTGGAAAGCTTCACCTAAAAAAATGTCTTATATAAAATACTTGAATTTTAATGATTAAACATCGTTCCTCTTTAGGATTCTAAATTTCAGTCAGTAATGAGTTTAATAGCTTCAACTATGAAAGTAGATTTTTTTAACATTATTGTAATAGTGAAAATAATCTGAGTTTCAGGATGACAAATTATAAATTGGTGGAGCAACATGGAAAAGGAAATCTGAGTTGCCTACTTGAGAAACATCTGAACCAGTTCTATAGTATAGAGGACAGATGGTCTAAGATCTAAGTATAGTATTTGTTTGCGACTCGCACCTCTTCCTGTGAATCTTCCAGTGGATACACTACTACTTTTCTCCAACCTTCTCTTAGCTTGAGGCATAGCATGTGAATTATGAGCGCAAGCTAATTCTGGAGTATTACCAATTGCCCAGCCCTTATTCTCTGGTGACATGCCATGAGTGTGTGCTTTTAGCCGAAATAGTGTATCCCCCAAATGAATATTGGGACAATTCAGTAATATGGAAATTAAGGCATGAGTGGCACATGAGTTGGGCACCATTTGCTGGGCAAAAAATATGCTGTTGACTACATCTTCGTCTTTAACGAAAAATGTTTCAGTTTGTTCAACAACCTTTCTTCTTGATCTTCGTTCTTCTACCCAACGGAATAGGAAAATAAAGCCATAGACTTGACTGTCTAGAGGCTTATTAAGGTCGTAAATTTCTTCTACTTGGACCCCTTTAACTCCAAAATCTTCTAAAAGGAGAGTAAACAAACCTGGGTCACTTTCAAGCTCTAGCCAACCTTCAGTCAATTCTTTTATGTCTACAGGCATGATTTTTAGTTTGCATTGAAATACCTATTTCACTGAGAAAATTATCCAGTGCTAGAAGATGTAGTTGTTAAGTGCTTTGTGAGATTCAATGAACATAGAGTTTTGAATCCTCATTGATGGCTAATAGAAGTTTTAAAATTAACAAATACAAACATAAATAAACAACACAGGCAATGAAACCACCATTTTGTCCAGTATTTATTTAAATTGGCTGCGTTCGATAACTTGAACTTGGTCATGAAAATTATCTATATTTAGAACGGTGGGGCTTCGCACTTCCGTATAATATTAGGTCTGTTCGTACAGTTATCACTAATCACAAACCACCCAGAGTGAATTTCATTGTTTAAAAACACTTAGAAAACTAGTTTCAACCAACGAAATTCACTCAGACTGGTTTGTGATTTCTGTGCGAACGCGAACAGACCTTTAGCGAAATTTATCGGAAGAGCGACTATGGAAGGGACAAGGGTTAGTGCATTGGTGCACACTGAGTGTATTGGTGTCTTTTACTACCAGCAACCAGCCTAATATAAAATGAGATAAAAATACATCTTTTGTGCACTGGTTCTACCCAAGAATCGTAAACTCGACAGGATTCCTCAATCCTATAATAAAACATACATTCATAAAAATATCGAACATGGAGGAATGCGAGTGACGTCACGCAGTCCTTGATCGGTTTGTTTTTTATTATGACAGTGCATTTTCCTTGTATTTTCAAACGTGAAAAATTGTTATTTTGAGGTTACTTCAAAAAGCAAGCACTCAAAAATGTAAATTTCATCGGTTTTCTAAAGGAAAAGATCCTGTTAAAACTAGAACGTTTGAATAGTTTTTTGTAAAAGAAAAGACAAACTCAATTCAGATACATTTTTTGTATTTTATTATTATCAAAATATTAGGCAATTCAAACCATCTGTCAAAACGGAAAATTCAATATGGCATGGCGGCCAGCAAGTTTGTTTTGAATATGTGTTTTCATGTAAGTATATTTTAATTATTTTGCTTCGAGCTTTGCTTGCAGCTTTGATTTTGATTATTCAATAAAATATTTGTTTACTAGGTACATAAACTATTAAGTCGGGCAGAAACTAGACATTTTTTTGTTTTTTGGTCCATGTGTGGCCGCTACGCCATCTTGAATGTTACGTGGTTTGAACTGCCTAAAGGCCGTTTTACAGCTTGCAATTCTTTCTGCAATATGCAAGAAACTTGAACGAGGGCATGCGCAGAAGTGAGTCAGCTGATTGGTTTCTGCAAGATTCTTGAAACTTGAATGGCATTGCATGCAATCGGTTTGGTGCCATTTTTCTTGAAGGTTTTCGTGCAAGCTGGGGAATTTTTAGCAATTATGATGCTTAAAGTTGCTGCTATTGCTTTCTTCTTTTTATATCGACTTATAATCACTTTTTTTATTTTTGGAAAATGCAAACATCAACAACACAACATTAAAAACAAAAAAGTATGGTTAAGGTTAGAGAAAGAAATAAGTAAAATTGCAAGGTGTAAAACGACGTGCAAGAAATCATGAACGCAATTTTTTTTGCATGCAAAAAATTGCATTCAAGTTTTCTTGCAAGCTGTAAAACGGCCTTTAAGTCGTTTTACACCTTGTAATTTAACTTGTTTCTTTCTCTAACCTTAACCATACTTTTTTGTTTTTAATGTTGTGTTGTTGATGTTTGCATTTTCCAAAAATAAAAACAGTGATTATAAGTCGATATAAAAATAAGAAAGCAATAGCAGCAACTTTAAGCATCATAATTGCTAAAAATTCCCCAGCTTGCACGAAAACCTTCAAGAAAAATGGCAGTAAACCGATTGCATGCAATGCCAATCAGCTGACGCACTTCTGCGCATGCCCTCGTTCAAGTTTCTTGCAATATGCAAGAAACTTGAACGAGGGCATGCGCAGAAGTGAGTCAGCTGATTGGTTTCTGCAAGATTCTTGAAACTTGAATGGCATTGCATGCAATCGGTTTGGTGCCATTTTTCTTGAAGGTTTTCGTGCAAGCTGGGGAATTTTTAGCAATTATGATGCTTAAAGTTGCTGCTATTGCTTTCTTCTTTTTATATCGACTTATATATAATCACTTTTTATTTTTGGAAAATGCAAACATCAACAAAACAACATTAAAAACAAAAAAGTATGGTTAAGGTTAGAGAAAGAAACAAGTCAAATTGCAAGGTGTAAAACGACGTGCAAGAAATCTTGAATGCAATTTTTTTGCATGCAAACAATTGCATTCAAGTTTTCTTGCAAGCTGTAAAACGACCTTTTAAGCGAAACGGGGTTGCGTTGCAATTGTTCTTTTCACGTGGCTCCGGTTTAACTAACCGGGTTACAAAACGATTAGAGAAATGACATACCGTTTTCTAACCCGGTTCCGGTTACGAAATAACGTGATGGATACCAACCACTCGAATTTGAGCAGTATGTTGCGGTTTGTTAAACCGGAGCCACGTGAAAAGGGTTAATTGTTCTTTTCACGTGGCTCCGGTTTAACTAACCGGGTTACAAAACGGTTAGAGAAATGACATACCGTTTTCTAACCCGGTTCCGGTTACGAAGTAACGTGATGGATACCTACCACTCGAATTTGAGCGGTATGTTGCGGTTTGTTAAACCGGAGCCACGTGAATAGGGTTATTGTGTGTTTTATTTTTTTCTGTCATCTCTTCCTTGTCTCTACCAATGAACTATAACCAAAAACTGGAATGCTAACACATAAGGAAGAACGTGAAGCCTAGTGCAGCTGCTGCGGAGGGGATACCTGTTTTTGTCGCACTCATTATGTTAAATGGCGAAAATTGCTTCCGACACGTATTCCAATTGATGGAACCTGTGAAGGAAAATATGACAAAACTACCGAAAACGTCATATGTCAGCGAGCAACAGAAAAAAACAACATTCCCCCTTGTGGCATCTGTCTTTCATGGCTTCATTTTTTGGGCAGATATGGCAATGTGCGCGCATTCCAGTTTTTGGCTATAGTTCATTGGTCTCTACTTACTTCTCGATTATTATTCAATAGTTTAATAGGTACTAGAACGATTTAATATGGACATTCAGAGTAAGCTTATCTCACAAAGCCAAATAGTGAAACCTAATTTAGATTTCCATAATCATAATCCAGAAGAACACTGCATGTATCCCATATCTTCCATGCGTTTACATAGTAAACGCGCCAGTAAAGGAATTTGTTAACGCAACATTATTTACAAATTTGGTTTCTTCTCATTCTTATTGAAGAATTACTTGAATGTCAATTTCGCGTAAAACACACAGGAGTATATTTTCTACGATCCTGCGCCGAAGCAGATAGCTGTTGAAGATTTGGATTTACACACACTAGCTAAATGGTACTTGATATGCACGTTGCATTTTCTACCGGTTCCGTGTTTTACGTTCGAAAAGTCTATGTCTTGTGCCGTTAAAAAGGGACCTTGAGTGCCCTAAGTCGATGGTGATACGTTGGTGGTTGTGGAGAACCGTTTTCCAGGGGATCCCCTTATATATGCACAGCTTATAAGAAAACCCAGGTGAGTGGTAATAACTTTTGTGTGTTTCGACAACCCTATGGTATCAATTTTCATTTCTATTTCAATTTGTTTGCGCGATTTTCCAGTGCAGTCCAGTTTACTAAATTTCAAATACTATTGCGTAAACAGAATTTATTAATTTATCTTCACAACTACTTCTAGTAATTACATGCAAAGGACACTTACAACTAAGTAGTTAATTGATTTACAAAAAAAAAACAATACAAATACTTGACTAGGAAATACTAATACCCGTATTACATTTGTGTATTTTTCTTTGTATTTATTCATGTAGTTCAGGGTGACAACCGAAAAACTTCAAACGCAACATAAATCCGCATTATGAAAAACAAAATAATGTTGGCACCCTCAACTACATGAATAAATACACGGAAAAATACACAGATGTAATACGCGCATAACAGTAGAAAACTAAGCAATACACAATACACACGAATAAAAGAAGGCTATGTCCTGATGCAACAAATCCAGTACCTATTACAAAACCACTAAAACCAGAAAATGTTTGGGGTTTCCGTGATTATTTTTAGCCATGAGTCTTTTATGTTTACACACATTAAATGAGACTTAAATTACACCCAACACTAACTTCGAATTTAGGATAAAATAATTGTCAGCACAAACTCAACTATCATCTGTATCAGGAATGCAGGTGACGTCATAGCACTAGTGAACAAATTTAGCCGATTAGAAATCCTGTAGAGTTTACGATTCTTGGGTTCTACCAATGAAATTCGTCATATGTTTGATCTCGCTCTGGGATTTTGACACCGAAACATTCATCTTGGGAGTTGACATCAACTGTTGGTATTTTTTAAATTATGTGTCTTGTATTTTCGTCTTTTCGCATTCATCAACATCATCAACATTTAACATTTGACACCAAGTACCGCAAAACTCTGAAAACTCAAAACAAGCCGATACAAAAATATGTCTTTTCTTGTCACTACTTTTAGTTTTGTGTAATATTCTCCATTCAGCTAAAGTTTTACTTTAGTCGCGATCACAGTGTTCGGGTAGTATCCTTGAGTGCAAAGTACCCTTTTGAAAATAACTTATCCACTAAACATGTTTTCGAATGCATCCCAGTACTTGACATGTGTATCTCAGCTGATTTTTGTCAGTGTAAACGTCAATAAGTTACAACAAATTACAAAAAAAAAAATAAAAAGACATAATTCATAATTTCAAATTCATTGAAGATATGATAGAGATATAGATATGATATAAATAATATAATATATAAAAATATTTTAAATCAGTCGTGTGGTAATGTGCTATAGTTGAAACGATGAAATATTTTACGCCTCCTGGTTAAAACTTAAAATGAATGGAAATTTAGAACAAGGCAGTCTCAATCAATTGGGTATAGATAGGCGTCCTATAGTAACATGTAGGTCAAAAGTCAATATTCAATAATAGAATATTTATAAATCTATAATTCTTTAATTGTATGTTTTTGTAGGTGCTGGAGAGTTGGAAGTTTTTTCTGCCATTGAAGAAAACCTTGCACATTCCTTGCCAAAAGATGCTTGCGAGTGGAAGAGGTCCCTTGGTCGTCCAATTAGGAATGTCCATATTGGAGCGAATTTTATCCCTTTTAGTGCCGTTTCCTTACCAAAATCTGGTCAATGGGACTTAATAAGACAACCACTATTCCATACTTATTGGACGGAATGCTCCGTAAGTTTTTGATGCTATTTCCTTGTTATTCTTTTTGAAATTACTAGTTATTTTAGACTTTAACAATATAAAAACATGCCTTAAAAAATTATTACAAAATAGAATCATCCAAAAATGTAGACATAGCTACTGACTTATTTCAATAATAAAGTTTAGAAGTTAAGTATACTGTATTTTTTCTCTTGTTAAACACAACATTGGCGATATTGAAAACATAAGCAATGCTGTTTGGTGCTTATTGGTTGAAAAATGCAGTGGCCCTGCAGGTGAGGTCCATCTTTTTACAGGGTTGGATCCTCGGTTGGATCAGTTTTACAATGTATTTCTTGCAAATGTAATAAATAAAAATAATATTCACTAAACATTTCATTATAGTTATTTATGTATCAAGGGAATTATGAGGGTGTTAATAAATACCCCAGGGCAACAACGTCACGGCCGCAACATTTTTGCTAGTTTGGGTTACACCTCGGGTTACACCAATTGCCCATGGGTATTAACACCTGATAATTCTCGTGGTACATAGATAATTTTATATTCTACTTAATTTACTGTATTCTGTCTATTTTTATAAAGGAATAAACCATAAACCAAAATTTCTATTTTTTCTTAAAGTTTCACCTACATATGTAGGTAAAAGCAGCAGTTATGGAAATCCGCCTAACTACCGCGCGGGAGTTATGATATCTTCAACTCCCGTGTGGAGTTATGAAATCCTTAACTCCTGGGGAGCTATGAAATCCTTAACTCCTGGGCGGGAGTTAAGACCCTGTTTATGATTATTGTAACCAAGGTATTATATATTCATTTATTTCCAGGAGAAACATCCTCTAGAAATGCGTTTATTCCATTTTCTTAAATATTACAAAAAAAAAAATACAGAATTCACCAATCCTAAATCAATATAAAATAGTCGCAGACTTTTTTGTATATTGCACCTAGATGTAAACATCTGTATGTGCAGTGTTTCCTATTATTTTATTTATAAATGCTAATAAGTTTTCACTTTATAGAAAAAAAAAAAACAATAAACAACAACAGTGCGTTTACTAACTAATCCCAATCCTAATCCTATAAAAATTCTCACATCCAAGGAAATAAAGGCAATTAAAGGCAATTTCCCCTCCAATAATGCTAGCCAAAAAACCCTTCAAATTGACGTCGATTTTCGAAAATCACCTTCTTGCTATGCGTTTTAAATGTTTTTATTATACCGCAATTTCTCACTTCACCTGGCAATAAATTGTAAAATTTAGGGCCAAAATAATTCACATATCTGAGATTAAGATTATTTTTGCTTATTGGAAGTTTAATATGACCATCTACTCTAGTTCTCGTTCCATAAGTATGGTTCACCAGTTGTTTCAAGTTAGAGTGAATATGAACATATGAGCAAATTGTTAAAATATAGATTGATCTAATACTCAGAATGTCCTCATTGAAAAGCAGTTGTGTAGGGTATAATCGATTTTTCTTATAAATAATCTTGAGAATATATTTCTGAATTATATTTAATTTATAGAGGCTATTGTTATAGAGTCCACCCCACACCAAAATTCCATATCTTATGATTGATTCTACAAAGGCTTTATAAATTGTGATAAGAGTTTCTTTATTCAAGAATTCTCTTAATAGGTAAAATTTATGAATAAGTTTACGAATTCTGTTAGAGACATAGTCAATGTGGGGCAGCCACTTAAGAAACTTATCAATCACAATTCCAAGGTATTTTATTGAGGAAGTCTCTTCAATACAATGATCATCAACAACAATGTTATTATATTGTGGTCTATTTGCGCTAGTGAGTGAAAAAGCTATATATTGTGTTTTTGTTAGGTTTAGCGTTAATTTAAATGTTTGAAGCCAGTTTCTTATTCTTATCATACTGCTTGTAGTTTTACATTTAACACTTTCCCATGTATCTCCAGAGACCACAAGGGCAGTGTCATCTGCATAAGAAATAGTGATTCCATCAATTTGTAATTTTAATAAAGAATTAATATATGTTATAAAAAGCACCGGCCCCAAGACTGTTCCCTGTGGAACTCCAATCTTTATAGTTTGCCCTTCACTCAAAACATCATTCACTTTAACCATTTGAGTTCGTTCCGACAAATAACTTTCAAGCAAGCCCAGAGCTTTTCCCCTTATTCCACAATTTTCAAGCACTCCTAGAAGTCCATTGTGAGGTACAGTGTCAAACGCCTTTGCCAAGTCAAGAAATACAGCTAAACATTTTTTATTTGAATTCAAGTTATTAACCACTTCTGTTATCAATCTGTGCATGGCGTCTATGGCACTGCACCCCTCAAGAAATCCAAACTGGTTTGGAGATAAGATTTTATTTGATTGTAAAAAGTTAACCAATCTGACCTTTACACATTTCTCAAAAAGCTTTCCAAAGTTACTAATAAGGCTAACGGGTCGATAGTTAATTATGTTAGTCTTAGAGCCTGATTTGTGAATAGGTGTTATAATTGAAGTTTTAAATGCAAGGGGTATTATTCCAGTTTCCAAGATAAGGTTAAATATATATAAGAGGGGGTCAATAATTTCTAAATGAGTGTGTTTTATAATGTCAGCCTTTAGCCCATCATACCCCGGAGCACTGCCATTCTTCAAAGTTGATATATGGTTAATTAATTCATTTTTGGTTATAGGGTTTAAAAAAATGGAGCTTGCCAGAGGGGGTCCTAATTTGTATTTTTCCTGAGGTGTTGGAATGGACCTCTCCATTTCCACCCCCACATTAATGTAATAATCATTACAAAAATTTGATAATTCGTTTGGATTATTGAAACTTTTGTTATCCTTATTCATAATATTTAAAGAAGTTTTATTATTTGTATTGTTCTCATAAGTTGCATCTTTAATTACATTATAAAGCTTTTTCATATCATTCTTATTATTTTCAATTTGATTCCTGTAATATTCATTTTTTTGTCTATTAATTAATTTATTTAAAGTATTTCTATACTCTTTATATTCTTTTTCTAATTGATGGCTATAGTTTCTCGATAGTTTTTTTTTCATTTTATCTCTAGTTTTAATTGCAGAAATAATACCGTTCCTAATCCAACTCTTGATTTTTCTGTATTTTTTATATTTAATAGTATATTTTTCTGTGGCTTCTGATAACAATTGGGTATAATTTTCTAAAAAAATATTTGTTGCCGTTTCTGAGTTATTACTATTCATTACAATCGTCCAATCAAAACTTTGCAAAAGTTGCCTAAATTTAGGAATGTTCAGCTTAGTTTTCGTTTTACTTTCTAGTGGAGATATTAGATTATCATTAGATATTTTTTTCTTACTTACCAGAAGCACAATGGGGCTATGGTCTGTTATGTCTTCCTCAATAACATAAGAGTCAAAACTAATATTACCAGACTTCAATTTCGTATTAATGAATAAATGATCTAGGCATGTTTTTGATAAAAGTCTCGTAACTGAATTAATGTATGATCGAAAACCAAGTGTGTTCATCAAAGAGAGATAGTTTGCAACGTGATTATCATTTTTTTCCAAAATGTCAATATTGACATCTCCCACAAAAATTTCAATATTTGAAAAGGTCAAAGTTTCAAAATGGGTAAATATATCATTCATAAAATCTGTCCTTGAGATAGGTGGTGGTTTGTATATTGCTGTTATACCAAATATTATGTTGTTTTGTTCAAAATTTATGTGACTGAGAGTCGCTCTTGAATTTTGCAATTGAGTAATAGAAAATTTAACATCGATATGTTTCTTAGCCAAAATTATTGTGCCATCATTTTTGTTGTAACTAGCTTCATTATAGAATATCTGATAATCCGGTATGTTACAGTTTTTTATCGAGTCAATTTGAAAGGTTTCAGTGAGCACAATGATATCTATATAGTGTAATTTATATACTTCTATAAAAGTAAGCAAGTTGTCAATATTTTTATTTAGACTTCTAATGTTAAAATGTATTAGACTAAAAAAAGCATTTTTTTTATTTTTGATAAGCTCTAGACCCTTCTGGTCCACCATTTTACCTTGTAGATTATTTTCTTCCCCTAATTGTTCCAACATCTCATCCTGAGCGTTGTATACCATTTATTTATGAGTTGTAGTCGATTCTGTTTTGTAATAGTCCTAGATGGTATTTTAACGATGAACATTCTGGGTCAAGGGCTGAGTGATCCGTGCTTATCTGTAGGTTATGGTTTTCATTGGCCATCTTGCAGTTTACACACTTTTTCATTTGCCTCTCACATCCAAGTGTACTGTGATTCCCTGCACAATTTCCGCAGACCTCCATTTTGGTACAGTTGGAGCTTTTGTGACCAAAACCCTGACATTTATAACAGCGAGATACTGTCAGGTCCTCATATACTGGCAGGCGCTGCCAGTCTACGTAAACTTTTCCATAGGTTAGCATCCTTTCCAAAAGGTTCCCCGAAGTTTCGGCGTATATTGTTGAGATCGGTTTATTTTTATTATTTTTATTTTCATTCTTTATGCGTCTAACGTAAGTGACTTTAAGGTGGTCTGATGTATTAATCCATTTGTTCTGCTTGCGAATCATTTCTTCTAAATTCTCAATTGATTCATCTCCTGAATAACCCGCAATTTTTAATTTGGGTAAATTTTTTTTCGGAAGCTCAATTTTGTAGTTTTTATTTAATTTCTTTTCAGCTTCTTCCCTAGATAATTTCATGTCTTGTTCTGTTTCACATGTCACCACTATGTTTCCTTGCCTTGTTTCTTTCAGGTTTCTGATTCCAAGCTTCAACTCTGCTGGATTTATCGAATCCTGGATATCCTTCTTGCTCTTCTGAGTGTTTTGTGCTACTTTAGGCTTAATAACGACCGTAGGTAGGCTTGTTCTTTCTTTGATTTTTGGGCTATTTTGAATTATAGTCGCATAAGATTTATTTGGCAAAGACGTTTTCATATCACTTTTTATGGCTTCTATGTCTCTTTTCATCTCTTCCATTAGCTTTATCATATGGGGCATTCTGGCAATAAAC